AATTATATATAGTACATAATACCTGAAAATGATAATCACTATGTTACTAGTTTATATATTTACTGTATTGTACTTTTTATTGTATTTTAGAGTGTACTCCTTCTATTTGCAAAAGCAGTTAACTATAAAACAGCCTCAGGCATGTCATTCAAAAGGCATTCCAATTTAATTTTAAAAATAAAATTTTAAATTAAAAAAATAATTTTAGGCGGGGCATAGTAACTCACACTTGTAATCCCAGCACTTTGGGAGGCCGAGGCAGGCAGATCACAAGGTCAGGAGATTGAGACCATCCTGGCTAACACAGTGAAACCCCATCTCGACTAAAAATACAAAAAAGTAGCTGGACGTGGTGGCGGGCGCCTGTAGTCCCAGCTACCAGGGAGGCTGAGGCAGGAAAATGGTGTGAACCCGGAAGGCGGAGCTGCAGTGAGCCGAGATCACGCCACTGGACTCTAGCCTGGGCGATAGTGCGAGACTCCTTCTCAAAAAAAAAAAAAAAAGGGCATTCCAAAAGGCACTGTTATCACAGGAAGTCACATCTCCATGTGTGTTACTGCCCCTTAAGATCTTCCAGTGAGACAAGATGTGGAGGTGAAAGCCAGTAATGTTGACGATCCTGACCCTGTGTAGGCCTAGACTAATGTGTGTTTCTTCATTTTTAACAAAAGGTTTCAAAAGCAAAATAATATTGAAAAATTTTCAAATTCAAGCTTACTTCTTGGAAAAAAATACAAATAAAATTTTAAATTAAAAAAAGAATTTTAGGTGGGGCATAGTAACTCATGCTTGTAATCCCAGCACTTTGGGAGGCTGAGGTGGGCAGGTCACAAGGTCAGGAGATCAAGACCATCCTGGCTAACACGGTGAAACCCCATCTCGACTAAAAATACAAAAAATTAGACGGGCGTGGTGGCATGCACCTGTATTTCTAGCTACTCGGGAGGCTGAGGCAGGAGAATTGCTTGAACCCGGGAGGTGGAGGTTATAGTGAGCTGAGATCATGCCACTGCACTCCAGCCTGGGCGACACAGCAAGACTGTCTCAAAAAAAAAAAAAGAATTTTCTTTTCAACCCAGGAGACGGAGATTCATATTGCTCTCGGTATATGCTCCCCACCCAAAAAAAAAATTTAGACAGAAAAAAAACATGAGGAATAAGGATATAAGTAAATAAAATATTTCTGTACAGCTATACAATGTTTGTGTTTTAAGTTGTTATTACAAGGTCAAAAAGATAGCCGGGTGCGGTGGCTTACACCTGTAATCCCAGCACTTTGGGAGGCTGAGGCAGGCAGATCACGAGGTCAGGAGATCGAGACCATCCTGGCTAACACGGTGAAACCCCGTCTCTACTAAAAATACAAAAAACAAAATTAGCCAGATGTGGTGGAGGGCGCCTGTAGTCCCAGCTACTTGGGAGGCTGAGGCGGGAGAATGGCGTGAACCTGGGAGGCAGAGCTTGCAGTGAGTTGAGATTGTGCCACTGCACTCCAGCCTGGGCGACAGAGCGAGACTTCATCTCAAAAAAAAAAAAAGAGAGAGTTAAAAAAAGATTAAAATGTTACATCAGCCTTGGCAAGTGGGAAAAAAAATGTTAAGTTTATAAAGCAAAACAGTTATAGTAAACTAAGGTTAATTTATTATAAAAGAACTATTTTTTATAAATTTGGTGTAGCCTAACTGTACCATGTTTCTAAAGTCTACAGCAGTGAAGAGTAAGGCCCTAGGCCTTCACATTCACTCACCACTCACTCACTGACTCATGCAGAGCAACTTCCATTCAACCATGCTCCGTTTAATGGTTTGTACCCTGTACAGGTGTACCCTTCTTTTTTTATCATTTATATTGTTATTTTAAATGTACCTTTTCTATGTTTAGGTATGTTTATATACACAAATGGTTACCACTGGGTTATAGTTACCTACAGTGCTTCAGTATAGTAACACGCCACACAGGCTTGTTGCCCAGGAGCAATAGGCTATCCCAGACAGCCTAGGTGTGTAGCAGGCTAGATCATCTAGGTTTCAGTAAGTACATTCTATGATGTTTCCACAGTAATGCATTTCTGATAATGTATCTGCATTGCCAAGTGACACATGACCATAATTGTTATATTGTATTTTTTGGGTTTTTTTTTATTTTCCATGAATTTTTTTTTTTTTTTTTGAGACCGAGTCTCGCTCTGTCGCCAGGCTGGCGCAATCTCAGCTCACTGCAACCTCCACCTCCCGGGTTCTAAGCAATTCTCCTGCCTCAGCCTCCAGAGTAGCTGGATTACAGGTGCGGGACATCATGTCCGGCTAATTTTGTATTTTTAGTAGAGACAGGGTTTCACCATGTTGGCCAGGCTGGTCTGGAACTCCGGACTTCAGGTAATCCACCCACCTTGGCCTCACAAAGTGCTGGGATTGATTATAGGCGTGAGCCACTGTGCCTACTCTCCTTGAATATTTTCAACCGATGGTTGGTTGAATCTGCAGAAGCAGAACCCACGGATACAGAGGGCCAACTGTACTCCATAGGCCAAAAAGCAAGTTGGATCAAGATAAGTAAAAGCAGAACCATGTCTAAAGTATGCCACCATTTGCGTAAAAAAGGTGGGGGAGTATAGTCTTACTTGCTTGAATACCAATAGAATTTTCCTGGAAGAACATACAGTTGCCCTGGGTAGCAGAACTGGGTGGTTGGAGGACAGAAACAGGAAGCAAATTTTACTATACAACAACCTTTGTGCCTTTGGAATTTTGAACCAAATGAAATGTTATTACCTATTCAAAACAGACAGGCTGGGCGTGGTGCCTCACCTGAGGCCAGGAGTTCAAGACCAGCCTGGCCAACATGGTGAAACCCCGTCTCTACTAAAAATACAAAAATTAGCTGGGCATGGTGGTGGGCACCTGTAATCCCAGCTACTCCGGAGGCTGAGGTAGGAGAATCACTTGAACCTGGGAGGAGGAGGTTGCAGTGAGCAGAGGTCGCGCCACTGCACTCCAGCCTGGGCGACAGGAGTGACACTCTGTCTCAAAAAAAAAAAAAAAAAAAAACAAAAAAAAGAAAAAAACCAAAATAGAATAAAATTGAAAGAAAAGAAACAAGTGAGTTGAAGAGCACTGGACTTCCGTGTCCTTGGAGGCTATCCATCCCGAGAGCCCACCTGTGGTCTGGCCTTGTGTCTGTGGCACTGTAGTGAGGGATGGAACTCTTGGGTGGGATGTGGTAATTTTGGTCGTTGCACCCAGGCCTCTTGTCCGTTTCTGGGGAAAGATAAAGACAAGGTCCACAGTCACCCTCCCAAATGGTTTATACTCTCTCTCTCCTTTCTTTCACACACACATACACACACATACACACACACACACCCACATACCCCACACACACATGCACAGCTCTCCACGCCCAGCTCACCTTCTCAGGCTCCAGGCCATCTTCCATCTGGTCAGGCCTCCTCTTGAGTCTGCTTCCTGAGAGAGGCAGCCGGGAAGGGGCCTTAATCCGAGGTCTCTTCAGTTCTATGTTCCCCTTTACTTCCAACAGGGGGGACCTCTGTTGGGAAAAGAGACCCTTGAGACAATACCCAGGAGCCCAAATGTCCCAAGAACTTCCCGTCTTGGCCCCCCAGCCTCAATTATCAACATCACCACACCAAGCACTGAGCACCACTTGTGCCAAAAGCTGAATTATGTGCCAGACAGACAGCATGAACAGAAGTGGGGACATAACCTAAAAGTGGGAATAACCTCTAGGAGAAAAGCTGGACTTGACTAACTTTAAGGGCAGGAGTCAAACAAGCAGAGAGGAATGGATGCTCTTTCTGGAAGGCAAAAATTCAAATATGCACATAGCATGGCTAAGAAACCAACTGGCCCTTTTGGCTGAAGCTGAGAATCATAAATAAGGGAGAGAGTGGAAGATATGTGAGGGCTGAAGACTGCTTGGGAGAATCAGGCAACATTTATTGAGCAATGTTTGAAATGTTTTACCTGGGCCAGGTGCAGCAGCTCACACCTGTAATCCCAGCACTTTGGGAGGCTGAGGCAGGCAGATCACAAGGTCAGGAGTTTGAGACTAGCCTGGCCAACATGGTGAAACCCTGTCTCTACTAAAAATACAAAAATTAGCTGGGTGTGGTGGCGCATGCCTGCAATACCAGCTACTCGGGAGGCTGAGTCAGGAGAATCACTTGAACCTAGGAGGCAGAGGTTCCCATGAGCCGAGATCACGCCACTGCACTCCAGCCTGGGCAACAGAGTGAGACTCCATCTCAAAAAAAAAAAAAGGCATTTGAACTTAATTCTGGCCGAGCACGGTGGCTTACGCCTGTAATCCCAGCACTTTGGGACGCTGAGGCGGGCAGATTACTTAAGGTCAGGAGTTCAAGACCAGCCTGACCAACATGGTGAAACCCTGTTTCTACAAAAATTACCCGGGCATGGTGGCATGTGCCTGTAATCCAGCTGCTTGGGAAGCCGAGGAAGACAATTGCTTGAGTGACTGGCAGAGGTTGTGGTGAGCCAAGATCATACCACTGCACTCCAGCCTGGGTGACAGAGCGAGACTGCGTCTCAAAAAAAAAAAAAAGACGAAGAACTTGACCAGGCGCGGTGTCTCACGCCTGTAATCCCAGCACTTTGGGAGGCTGAGGTGGGCAGATCATGAGGTCAGGAGATTGAGACCATCCTGGCTAACATGGTGAAATCCCATCTCTACTAAAACATACAAAAAA